CCCGGTGATCGACAATCTCCCTTTTTAAATATTGGGGCCAGTATTGCATTTGTCCAGGCCTCTGGCATAATTCCAGTCCTATTAATTTCGGTGAACAGAGCAGCCAGAAAGGGAGCCCACCTACCTGGGAATGCCTTGAACAGTTTGGGAGGGATTGCATCGGGCTCAGGAGCCCCCTCCCAGGCTTCAGATTTGTAATAAGAGATTCTACCTCCTCAGTCTGAACTGGGGGCCAGTCAGGGCAGTCAGCCAGATTTAGGGCAGGGTCCTCTGCTGAGTTTACTCTGTCCTTATAGAAAATTGACAGAAAGTAATCGTGCCATTTATTAACTGAAATTGGACTGTAAACGACCTCCCTCTTTCCAAAGGAGTTCGAATCCAAAGCCCAATACATCTTAGTATTATTTTTTATTGTGGCCTGGAGTAGCTGGTCCCATTGGTTTTGAATGATTCTTTGTTTATTACAAAAGGTTTGCTTGAGTAGATGTTTCATCTCAAAATATTCTGAGGGCAAGCTAGCTAAATTCAGTTCTCTAAACTGCTGGTAAATTGCACAAAGGTGAGCTTTCATTTTAAGGCATTCGCTATCAAACCACACCAGGGTGCCTTGCTCCCTGTGGTCTTGGCAATTCTCTGATTGCATCCCGAGAGCACCAACAATCTGAGTCATGATCCTTTCATACATATAAATTATCTCAGGACCTTGAGGGGGCTGCCAGGACACAGCCGTTACTTCAGCTAGGGGAGTTGAAGTGAGAAAATTCGCAGCCTTGCAGGCTACCTTGGATGACCAATAGATTTTCGGGACCCTAATTTCTTCACACTGAGAGACCATCGTTTTGCTAATCTGACTTTTGGGAGCCAAAAAATGGCTAATAGCCAAGGTCAGAGGGAAGTGGTCACTTTCAGCTTGTCCTTCTATTTTAAAGGAAGTAACCTGTTCCGCAAGAGACAGAGGGACCAAAATGTAATCAACCACACTGCACCCACCTCTAGCAGCATATGTAAACTCCCCTGGAAAATCAGAACAACAAGAACCATTCAGTATTACCAGGTCAAATCGAACACATAGGCACATTAAACGCACCCCTGCAATGTTAATATGGTTATCCTTAGAGTGTCTACACAGTGACATGCAGGTTGAAAGGGCCTTTTCAGGATCAAATCCCAACCAGTTAGCCAGGGCTAACCCATTTTGCCCCACTCTGGCATTAAAATCACCTGCTATTAGAAATTCCAGGGTAGGAAATTCCTGTTCTAAATCCTCCAGGTACTCCAAAAAGGAGTCCCAGTGGGCAATCCAGCTTTGTCTGTACAGGGTGGCAGATAAACATTAATAATTATTAGATTTTTTCCTGCCCTTTCATAAGAAAAGCTTGGGCCTGGTGCTCGCAGCTTTTGAGAGGAAACACCATTGAATCCAATCTATGTGAGCACAGCAGAGCTAAACCTGCTTTATGCCGTCCATAGCATTTGGTTTTGTGGGCCAAAAGGGGGAAAGTCCTGAAACCCTCAAAGTTAATCTCAAAGTGTGGCCAAGTTTCTTGCAACAAAATTATATCAGACCTCTTAAGGAACTGCCTAAACTCCCAGTCCAAAAACTTGGACTTCCATCCTGCAATATTCCAAGAAAGAATCTTGATATCTGTGGAAGGAGGGGCCCCCCTTGATATCTGTGGGAGGAGAGCCCCCCAGCAGTCAATCCAATTCAATTATTTTCTCCAGTGATTTGTTGGAATCAGGATAGACATTTCCATTCCTATTCAACTTATGGGCTTGGTTTGAAACCAGTTCACATTCTCTATTGGAGCCTTGTTCTTCCGCCTGCCTAGAATCTTCATCCTTGGGACAAATTGTCTGTATCTCCATCACCTCTTCTGTTCCACACGACTGGGCCTGTGGTGTTGAAAGTAAATTGTGGATCTCTGCTGAGCTTTCTAACTGGAGGGCAATTGGTACTATCTGCTTCTCAGCTCTGCATTTAGTCAAGTTTAATTTCAGGAGCTCTAGCCTGTTTATAATCCACTGTTGCTCTTGCTTAGGCAGGGTTATAAATGATTCTTGAATGTTCTCCTGCACATCTCCCATCCCCAGCAGCATTTCCAAAGATGTAACTTGGGTATTTACACCAACAGTCCCTCCATTTGATTCCTGGTCACCACCATTAAAATTGGGCTTATCACTCTTTGTGGACTTATCAACTCTCTTTTCCAGCTCATGTCCTTTTCCTTCCTCTGCACCTTTCAACTTAGGTAATAAGGGCATCACCCTTGGATTTGTAAAGACACGGGCAGGAAAAATGCCCCTGGTCTTTAAATAGTCTTTATTCCACAATATGAGTGATGGTATCTCCATTCGCTTAAACGATAATATACCCCTCTGTACTTGGTTCACATTATCCAGTACTTCCAACTCTTTTAGATCCACCACTCTCACCTGATCACCAAACAGGACTTTTAAATGTTTCATAGCCACTTATTTTGAATTCCAGAGAGGAATGTGTCCATTATGTTTACATCTGGTCAAACTGACCTTAAAAGGTTGAAGAACTAGGTTATAGATCCTTCTAGATCTGCAGATCTAGAAGGTCATGAGTTTACATGTCCTGTGTGTGTTCTCTAGGTCCGTTCAGAATTTCTGATGTTTGGGCAGGGATCACATTCAAGGTTCAAACAAGCCTCCCCTTTGGTCCAGTCCAATCATATGCCTCAGTCATCCTGCCTAACTTTTGTGTGCTCTAGCCCCCTCCCATAAATCTGCCGTTATGTTATCTAAGGCAGCGAAGCAAGCACAGGCAGTGTCCAAGGTCATCCCTGACAAGGGGAGGTATCTTAAAAGAGTTACATTGCCACTACAACAGAGCCATTCTCACACTCTCGCACCCACACACCCCTCTCTGGAATTCCAACCCCTTGCAGGCCCTGGATCTTTGTGAACCATGGCAAACAAGGCTCACTGCCTTCAAAGGACTTTTGTGTAACTCTGATTAGGATGGCACTGTTAGCACCCGAAGAAAACTTTTTAACTTCCATCCCATGAAGAGCATTGATCTGCTCTTTAACTATTTCGAGCCCTTGCTTCTAGTGAAGATTATTTTACATGGGGGAGAGGAAGAGGTAGGATTAGGCAATTCTGTGATTGAGGTGAAGGTGAGAAATAATGTGGAAAAAGACACTGGAGAAACAACACTTTCTTGTGTTGATTCTAACCAGCACCTGTCTACAAAGGAAAATGTATTTGGGGTCATGAATATGAAGTTATCTAAAACTAAGCAACGTATCGTATATCACCTTTTGAAATGTTAAATATGTGAGAAATTTCTGGTGTGCTCTCTGAGGTGGTATAAAGGCTATTTTATAGTTCATAACAACTAGTGGGTATGCATCTTAATTGTATCTAATCAACTGAAAAAGTTGATTCAAATGTAAGCTTGATTTATATCAATCTGTCCTGCTTGCATCTTTTAATGTGCTGTGGTCTCATAAGCCTTCAACCTCAAGACTGCTATAATGGGAGGGCTACTCCAGACTCTCTCCCCATATCTGTCCTCTTGCAATTCTCCTGTAGCTCCTTTTCAATTTGAGATGGGAGAGTCTTGAGGATGGAGTGTGTGGTTCTTTCGTGATCTAGCACAGGGACTCGAATTTAAGAGTGAAAGGTACATGGAATTATCTTGGCAAGAGTGGCTTTTGGAAAATTTGGCAGGTTCTTGTTAAGAACATAAGAACATAAGAGATGCCAATGTTGGATCAGGCCAAAGGCCCATCCAGTCCAACACTCTGTATCACACAGTGGCCAGAAATACCAGTGCCATCAGGAGGTCCACCAGTGGGGCCAGGACATTGTTCTTGTTGTCCCATTTGAGGAGAACATCCTGAGATGTTTGAGTGTTCTCTTACCCATAATTTCTGGGGGTAGGAGGTAGGTTGCTCTTTCCATCTCCGGTTGGGAGGGAGCAACCTCTGTCTTCAGTTCTCTTCCCACCACGTCTGGTTTAGAGCAGGGTCTGTGAGAGCCTTTGTTCAAAGACAGTGGATGCTGCCTCCCAATCACAGATGGAAAGAGCAACCTATTTCTCCAGAAGTCATGGGTAAGGAAGTATCCAAATGTTTCAGAAGGTCCTCCAAACCTTTGTGTAGGAAGAACCTTTGTGCTAAATCCAGTGTTCTGTACAAATATAGGGGGGGGAGGTGTCAAGGCAGTACACATATCAGATTTTTGTACACCTGGGCATTTGGCATACTGCCCATTCTTTCTGGCTGCTGCATGCGTTAAATTTGCTCCTGGATTTAGGGCCCTGATTTTGGAAGGACTGTATAGATTGTCTAGACCCATTCCAGTGGGAAAGCCATGTTAGTCTATTGTAGTAAAACAATGCAGATGTCCAGTGGCACTGTAAACGACTGACATCCACTGTGAGTTGTCCAGTTGTCTAACTGCATCTTTGCTTTGAAGCTTGTTCAAAGCTTAACATTTTCATCATTTTAACACTATTTTATGGACTATCATATTCTCCAAACACCAGTCCAGGACAATAAAATTGTCTCCATCTGACATTGAATGAGCCTCATGTTATGGAGAGCTTAGGCCATAATTTATCCACCTATGCTCTAAAAGCTGAGCAGGAATTCTTTGAAAACAGCTTATTTCTGCTGCATTCACGAAAACTTTCTCACACTATCATTACTTGCAAAACAAATCTGATTTTGTTTCCCTCCTCAACCAATGAAATGTGGCATTCTTTTGAGCGTCATCAGTTGCCACCTGGCTGCCTTTGTCTTTATTTGTCAACAGTGGCTCAGTTGGTCACCTGCAGTGAGTGCTAATTGCTTCTAGGACACCAGGCTGAGAAGCTTTTGCGAACTGGCAGAGGTTTTTATTTTGCACCAATATCTAACATGGGTATATGTGAGGAAAGGGTGGCTAGTAAATATTTTTGTGAACTAGTAACTACATGCAAGGCTATTATACCTAAACACTGTGTTTTTCCCCCCCTTCAGATTCCCATTGATGTGGTGCCAACACTCCCTGACATACCTTTGCCCCCAATCCAGAGTTCCTACCGCCCTCTTCCTTCGTTGGATTCACTCCCCCTCAGCCAGCCAAAGAGGAGAGGTAACTTTTGAGATGGGAATGGAACCTATTTGAGAAAACTCTTTTGCTGTTCCTTGATGCAGGAGAGAGATGCTGGAAGTGGTTTTAAAATCTTTTTGTCAATGTATTTCTTTCCCTTTCTGCCCCAAAACTCCCGCTTGCAATAATGAAAATAGTGAATGCATCTCATAGTGGCATCATTAAAGAACAAACATTTCCTGTAAAGTGTAACGGTCTGATTGCTAGAAAGAGTGGCGTATGTATGTATGTAAGTCTCATCAAGTCGCAACAAACTTATGGCGACCTCAGCAAGTGGCTTTCAAGACAAGTGAGAAGCAGAGGTGGTTTGCCATGGCCTTCCTCTGCATAGCAAACCCAGTCTTACCTGGTGTCAGCTACGCTGCCATAGTGAGGGAGGAGGGAAGGGAGTCTGATGGGTGAACATATTCCCTTTGCTCGCTGGCCCTTATCTAGGTTCCTGACCTTGATGCTTCGCGCTCTCTCCTTCCCTGGGAACCTGTAGTTGTTTCTTTGCACGCGTAAGGCTAGCACCTCTGATTGGCCTAACTCCATCAGAAGACCTCGCTTTGAACGTAGTATATCTTTCCCCCTCCTGCCTGGTGCGTTAGCTTTTGCACAGGATGTATGTACAGATGACCTGCTACTGCTGAACTCAATAAACTTGATCCTTCTAAGGAACGTTGTTGAGCCTGAGTGCTGTGGGATTCTGACACCTGGTGGTCTCCATCCAAGGCCTGACCAGGGCCGACCTTGCTCAGCTTCCAAAATCTGTCGAGGTCAAACTATACCATGCTACCTTCCCTCCTGAGGGTCCCCTAGCAATGGATATACAGCTACCCTCTAAAAGCCTGGTGGAATGGAAACTTTTGCGCTTGCTGGGAAAAGACGATTAAAGACACTGTCTTCTGTGAACCTTGTTGGGAAGAAAATCCCACAAGGTGGATGCTGCTGCAAGGAATCTGTTCCTGTGGCCCACCCTGGCATCTAGTGGTTGTCACACTGAAAAGGTATTGGAGCTAGCCTGGAGAATCTCATATGGGAGGTATACTCTTGGGTGTCCTGCACCCAAGCTCTCCGGTATGCCTGCTGTGCTGAGGAATTAGGCAATTTGAGTTGGATAACAGGCAATCTGTGGGCTGGATTCCATGGATCTCTTCTGCTGGTGGATGGGGTTTCTTTCAGTGGAAGGTGCCTTCCTTTGATGCAAGATGGGACCTCTGTTAGCAGAATGGATCCATGGGATCCAACCCAACATTTAGCAGCTGATCATCTCTTAGAAAATTAGGAGTGCTGTGGAGTACGCTTTGAGGTATAAGGCAACCCCTTCTCGATGTCTGGTTGCCCAAGGCTGATTCATACATTCAGGAGTACACAGATTGGGTCTGGGGTTCCTTACCCAGTGTCATACATGAGGTATGGATTTCCTGTTCAGTTCCCATGCATGCAGTATCTGGTTTGGATCACAGCTGTGGACCGGGGGGGAGCTATGTGGCCTATAAGGAGAAGCCCTGAAGCAGTCCATGTGGGTTCCCCAGGGGGGAAACAGCACAGCCCTGGGACTATTGCAGGACAGGTGAATGGTGCACTGGCACAGTCTGAATCTCCTCCCCACAAGTACCACAGTCATAATCTGAATTGGGTACCCCACTTGTGGGAATTGTCCAGAGCCCGCAACTCACTTGTGACAGTATGTGGGTCCCAGGACCCAGCCTATGTACTCTGTAATGTGTGAATCGGCAATGAAAGAAGTAATGGAGTTTTCCATGGTATACTGGTGTTCAGTTAATGTATACTTGCACAGTTCTTTGTACTTTCCCATGCAGCTTTGGTTTAAAGAGAAGAAGCAGTTCCTCCCACGCAGCTTCAGTATGCTCATTCCAAGGTCTTCAGTTTCCACAGCACTTAGCCATTCAGACCAACTTCAAGCAATATGCAAATAGATTAATCAGTTCTCTTCCATGAGATGGTAGTGGTGGCTATTTACTATGATAGTGAAATGAATCCTCAATGTCCATCAGCAGTATACTTGACGTAGGTGTTGTTGGGTTTTTGCCTTGTGGGGTCACTTGATTGGGTACTGCTGGACTAGGTAGATCTTCAGTTGAATCCAATGAAACATTTTTAATTTTCTGAGAATGGGTACATCCAGCCATTGATAAATTGCCTTTGACAATCTGCGCTAGATTTTGGGACCTGACAGTAATGCATATATTCCCCCCTCCCCACCCCTACTTAACTTCTTGTTTTGCAGCATTGTCTTCCCCTACAGAGGAGGATGAAGCAGGTTTCACAGGACGCAGGCTGAATTCCAAGATGCAAGTGTATTCGGGATCCAAGACTGCCTACCTCCCAAAGATGATGTCTCTGTATGAACAGTGCATCCGGGTCCTCAGTAATAATATTGACTGTGAGTACTGCCAGCTGTGACTTGCCTATTGAGTGCTCTAGGTTGCTGCTGTTGGTTGAATTTTGTATTGCTGTTGATCTAAGACTTAGGCAAGGTGTGCTTTCAACTCCCCATGTCTCCCAGGTGATGGGAAAACAGATGCATGTATTTGGAGGGGAGAAGCTATGTACAGAAGGGAAGGTCTCTGTGTGTGCTTCACTCTTTTCCTATCCGCTGATTTTCCTCCCTAACTCAGGATCAGCAACTTTTAAAGAAAAGCCATTTAGTAATAACTAGTGATAACATTAGTGAGGATTCATAGTCCATAATGTTTCTGCAGTCCAAATGGTGGTGGTTGTGAGTCCTTTATTAGGAAGCAGCACACACAAGGTCATGCTTAGGGGTGTGCAAAAAAAATCCTGGTATTTTTTGGGTTCGGGTATATTGAACCCAAAAAATATCGATATTTCCTGATATTCCCAAATTCCAATACTGGTATGGTATTTGGATTTGGTGAATATTTGGGATTGCTGAATTTTTTTTGCTCCACTATACCCTATGAGAACCATTATAGTTAGGCGGCGAGCGGTTTCTTGCTCGCCCGCGAGGCCAAATGGACCCTATGCGGCTTCAGATGGCATTGCGGGAGCCGAAGCCCCCTGGCAGCTCGTTGGATGAGCTAGTGGAGGACTGGCATGACCGGCTCTCCGCGGCCATCGACGAGATTGCTCCCAGGCGTCCTCTCCGGACTCGCCTTAGGCAGGCGCCCTGGTATACTCAGGAGTTGCGCCTGCTGAAGCGAGAACTGAGACAACTAGAGAGACGGTGGCGCCGCGCTCGCGACGAGGCATCCAGAGCATCTTATAGGACGCTTATGAAAGCCTATGAGGTGGCAGTCAAGGCGGCAAAGAGGGAGTTCTTTGCGGCCAGGATTGCATCTGCTAGCTCACGCCCGGCACAATTATTTAGCATAATTCGGTCATTGACAATTCTGCCACAGAGCAGGCAAAATGTAAGGGAATTGGACATCAGCTGTGAGGCATTTGCGAGCTATTTTGCAGAGAAAGTCTTGGCGCTCCGCCGTGACCTCCCCGCTACACTTGATACAGTGAGCGAACTTGAGGCCCCTTGCACGGCTTTGGAGCCGGGTTTAGTGAGTTTCTGCCCGCTCAGCCTGGAAGAAGTTGACAGATTGCTTGTGGCGGTACGCCCAACCACATGCGACCTTGATCCGTGCCCCTCTTGGCTCATTAAAATGGGGCGAGAGGGGTTTCGAGGTGCCCTACGGGAGATTATTAACAAGTCCCTCCTTGAGGGGCGGTTCCCTGGGGCACTCAAGGAAGCGATGGTCCGCCCTCTCTTAAAAAAGCCATCTCTGGACCCGGCCGAATTGGCCAACTATCGGCCGGTGTCCAACTTGCCCTATTTGGGCAAGGTGATAGAGAGAGCGGTGGCGGTGCAGCTACAGGCATTTCTGGATGACGCTTCTGTCCTCGATCCCCACCAGTCCGGGTTTCGCCCGGGTCATGGGGTGGAGACGGTACTGGTCGCACTGACTGACGATCTCCGGAGGCATCTGGATCGAGGTGGAGTGGCGGCACTGGTGCTGTTAGATCTGTCGGCCGCTTTTGATACGGTCGACCATCAGTTGCTGGCCCACCGCCTCGCCGACGCGGGGATTCAGGGGCTTGCCCTTCAATGGCTGGTCTCTTTTCTCCAAGGTCGGGGACAAAGGGTGGCGATAGGGGAT